AAAATGTATATATATATATATATATATATATATATACCATCAGATAGTGATGTGGATCATTATATTATCACTATAAAGCTACTAAATTCTTTTACAACACACAATGGGAACCAAAATCTCCATACCAGAGAACTTGGTTAATGTAAACAATTTTTTCCTTCTTAAGATTGCCTACTCAAGATATTGTATGATGTACCATCAATGACAATTTTGACAACATTTTTTACTTCCTACACTGTAAAGCACTTTGTCTCTGACATAACATTCTTGACTATGCATCTTAACTAAGTCAAAGCAGGAAATAATTTCCCTTTATTGACTATTGCATTGCTGTGTTCCATGGAACCTTAAAAGAAATCCAGGACTGGGAGAATTTCATTTGTCAGCATCAAAATCTATGCAGTTATGGTGAAGCATAATGTTGAAAACTATAAGTAAGAGGAACATGTTTGATCTCTTGCTACTACATCCTACCACATCATTCAGACAGTTGATCCGAGCAGCTACATAACTGATTCTACTGAAGAAATGTTCTGACTACAGTGTAAACAGTGTGTGACATTGCATATACCAGAATGGATCAAGTTTTTTTTTATGGGTAGTACAGGGAGAGTCCTGAAGTGTAAAAACAGCATTCAGTATGCTTGAATAAAATTATCTTTTGAAACTAACTTGTCTCTAAATGTTGATTACACACAAATATACATGTATTATTTTTCCACATGTTCCAAAGTTCATAAGTTAATAAATTAACTCTCTTGGGTTTATTTTATGACACTATCAGTATCTAGAATATACATTTGGATTTGAAAAGATCTGGACGGAATAAATCATGACATAATCAAGGCACTACCCTGGAAGTTGCCTGGAGGGACTGAGACAGACCATGAAAAATCTCAGTCAGGACAACTGGTGCCCCTGCTGAGATTCAAACACAGCACTTCCAACATACAAGTACAGAGAATTACTGCTACACCATCCCACTGGGCATATATTAATTTCCTAAAGGTATTTTTATTCCATGAATCCTGTTGTGTATAAAATATTAATTTATTAATCAGTTTATTCATACACAATTGATGATAGTCGAGAGACCGAAATATGTATTGGAAATTGATTTAATAAACTGACTTACTGTTTTTACTTTATCTTAATTGTTTTATTATACCATACTATAATCAAATATTGTTGTTGTATAATGGAACAAAACCTTTAATAATAATAAGGTATCTTTTAGCAATGCTGAATAATATCATTTTTCAGAAATTAAGTTCATGAAGAAATTCCTATAAGATAATTAGCCACTGTAACATGTGAACTTTGCTTACTGTGTCAAAAAATTCTGTGAATTTGGAGAAGTAATACCACCAACATGTCCTTGCCATCTGAAAGAAAATAAGTTTATCTGTACATACGGTGTTAAATTTATACACTTTATTACATATAAATTGCATAAATTTAATGGAAAATGAGATGGTTATGTCTGTCATCTTTGAAATTACTACCATTAGAAGCTGTCAAGGAAATTTAATTTTGGTGTGTACTGGTCAATACAATCCAAATTATACTTTAATACAAAATATAAAAAGTGGGATACTGTCCAAAAAATTAGTGCATAACAAAAAAGAGTAATCTTGTTAAAACCTACAACATCCTCCAATATGGTGAATAATCAACAAAATTCAATAAAAAATAACGTCCGACTCTGTGCACAGCGATTAGATTTGCAACAGTAGCCTTCAACATCAAAACCAATTGGACATGCAAACCAGCATAGAACACGTTTGGAAAATATGTACTATGCCTTTTCACTCCTGTTGTTTCACGTTTTTAATAAAGGAGTCTGTCGTACATAGTGTAGAGCTTGCGTATACAGAATGTTCAGGGCATTTTCTATGTTATTTGAAAATTTCAGGAAACTGCATTTTGAACACACTGTTTACTAGCTACAACAGTGCTTACCTAATATTATAGGTCTATATGTCAGTAAAAAAATACTCTTGTACTTTCCAATCAGAAGCTGAAAATATGTAACTATGTAATCATCTCTATGCCTCACATAAGAATCATGAGTATAAAGATCATTCCTAGCCTCACAGAAAATATTCTATTATTTAATTCAGCTACTAGACACCACAAATTTATGCAAAAAATTGTTTAGCACCTTCTGAGAATTTAATGACCAGTTTCATCATTTGTTATACAGAGTGTCCCAGGAGTTTGGTGCCATACTTCAGGAGCATACTGAGGTTTCCCTATAGAATAACTTTGAAATATGTTCCCATGTTCACAAACGTAAAATAGCAGCGCTAAGGAGGCATTTAAAATCATTTCGTTTAAACTTGACGCCACAATGACAAGCTGCATTGCATAGAGGAACAGCCATCCACCAGCACTCGTGCCATTGCCAAGAGTGTGGGGACAACAAAATCAAGTGTTTGGAGGATCTTGCATGATCAACAGTTTTATCCGTATCATCCAACGTGAGTACACGACATATGTGTAGGCGCCAAGTTTAAACAAAATGATATTAAATTCCGCCCTAGCACTGCTATTTTATGTTTGCGGACATGGGTTTCTATTTCAAAGTTGCTCTATAGGGAACCCTCAGTACGCTCCTGAAGTATGGCACCAAACTCCTGGGACATCCTGTATAAGTTTCCACTCAATAACAGTAACTTCCTTTGCTTTTTCTTATATTCCCTTGCAGTACTGCATATTACTGAATGATGCACCAAGGCCAATATTTAACACCATCTCCATGAATAACATGCAAAAATAATCAACTGTAAACCGTTTCCTTTATACAGTATAGTGTACTTCAGATGTCTACATCAAAATATTATCACAGAACAGACATGACACATCGAAACAAAAGAATGCTTGCTCATTCATGACCTACAATATAACTTACATTCATGCAATGTGTTAACACTTGACAATTCATGGTTATGGTAACACGAAATTGTGTAATGACAATGATGAATCTTACGCTTACAAAGCTATTTTATGTATACAGAAGGAAATATGTGCTTATTTAACACTTCCATAGACCCAAAGATTATACTAATTAATAACATTCACAGACGCAACATATTTAAAGGAATATGTATTCAAGGGAGAGAGTGGTCCCCATACTTTTGATGACAAAAACTCTCCCTGATGTCACTACTTCTGTTTAAATTACATTTAGCTGCTAATATTATATGACAGGAGTGTCCTGCTGTTGCCATACAAGCAACAGCAAGAAGACAGTGATGTACTAATGCACCCATACAGCCCATTGAAGGACACATCACCATACAGATTCTGTTTTCATCATAGCATTATAACTGTCACATTTGGTGAAAGATCAACTTAAGGAGACACACCAGAGACAGCAAAAACAGATCGTAGATTTTAAGTGACTTCTGAAGTTAAGCAGCATTACTTTAATGACAATTTACTAATGATGAAATACTACCCAGTACAGTGTACTAAAATATCAGTCAGGGATCTAAATATTGTACAGATTGGTCAGCACAATACATGAGTATACTCTAGTCAAAAGAGCTTGGGGCTTAAATTAAACAGAAGAGGGAACTGTTTACAGGCAACCAGTGTGGCGCGGGGGATACGGAACAAAGATCAGCACAAAGAACTGATATTATCTTTTTAAAAAATTGTTCTTATATCCTGAATATTCTATAAATATTCTTCAGTGGCTTAGAATTGCCTTCCACAAGAACTGGTGCCACATGGTTATTCATGTGTCTGTACAATGAGAGTTCCATTTAAACTGATGGTCTGGTAAGATGTTCCATAAACGCCAGTGGAAAAGGCAACTTAAATCTACGTTTTTGGCAAATTTCCTGTCTGTCAACCTCACCACCACCTCTAAAATATTACAAGTGAATGTGTAAGCATGTGGCACACACAGTCCTACTATATATATTCATTCAACATGTTCGTTACTCAGAATTAAATGATACTTACTCTCAAAGCCATTGGATTATTGGAATAGTCAACAGGTTGGCATCGAAAACTGTAATGCCCTGCCCAGCCACTGGCCAAATACTGAAATAATAAAGAAATCAAACATTAACAAAAGTCATCAAAATGTTGAGATCAACAGTGAAATTTACATGACTGCAAGCAGGAGGCACACAGTAGCGTAGTCGGTTGAGGCACTATGCTACAACCTGGAAGGTCGCAGGTTCAAGTCCTGATGAGGTGGATATTCCCAATTTACCTAATCCTTACAGCCGCACTACGGCCCTGGGTCGACTCAGCGTCTAACAGAAATGAGTACCAGGAATCTTCCTTTGGGAGGCGGGGGCAGAGGGCAGTTGGTGTGTAAGGTTGACAACCTTACTGCTGTTTATGAGCTGACTGTCTAAAGAAAATGTGGGGAGCCTTGACATATCATAATCCTGTGGGCCTTCATGGCTTATTACAGGGATAACTTTACCTGTTTTACCTTACTTTACTGCAAGTGTTTAATGTACAAAAGTATTATCTATCTTTGCTTCCATACCTGAACTTTCTAAGAACTAAATAAGACAGTGACAGTCACTACACACTTGAAAGTAAAGTAGCGTGTTCATATAATGTACCGCTTTTGTGTCCAGGACTTCAGAAGTGAAAAATAAAGATAACAGAGAGGAGCAGAGAGTAATATGAGGGTAAAGTGGTCACAAAATATAGCCTTTTACAAAACAATGAATCATAAAATAATAATTCTCTAAGACAAACTAAAGACCATCCTCCCTGTCAAGAGATGTTACAAACTTGAAACTTCCACTTGGACATATCTCTGGACCATCAAAATCTATAAATTTGACCTATAAGATATGCGACAAACTCCGTCTTAAGTGCAACAATTTTTTGCACTTAAGACGGAGTTTGTCTCATATATTGTGTGAGTGTAACAGGATGCTTAAATATAATATTGATCTATAAGTTCAATAAACATGATGAGGAAAGGTTATATTTAAATTTATACTGCTTCTTAAGTGAAGATTCAGAGAACTGTATGTTTTAACACATTCGTGCTGGTTCTGTAAACCAGTTAAAAAGTTTCACTTCATTTTTCTTAAAATATTTTGAACAAACTTTGTTTTGAATGTACATACTAGTGTTACTTGCTCTTCATCACCACCGTAATCTTTATTCTTTCCTGCTATGTATTTCAACACGTCTCACAGATGTCATTTTATGAAGTTATAGTTCAAACAAATGTGATTATACAACTGATTTCATAAAACTACACAAAATTACAGAATGCAGACAATATAATCACCCGCCTAGTAAGTTACAAAGTGCCTCACTTATATTAATCCTGATAAGGAGTTCATGTTTTGGAGACCTGAGGATGATATTTAACTGTCTTGTGAAGTGATATGAAGATGTGGCATAGACTTATGCTAGGTAAGTTTTTCTTAAATATATGAGATGAGAGGCTCTCACAGCAGTGAATGTTAAGACTGAGGTCTTCTGGGGCATAATGCCATGATCAGAATACAGGTTTTCATAATGTAATGCATTTGATCAAAGCATCGCCAGGCAACAGCTCTGTTAACATGGTCCATCATGCAACATTAGAGGAAAGTGTGTTTTCTGTAGATCCAACTGACACGCCAACAGACTGGCTGGATAGTGATCACATGATATGTGTTTACTGTAGGTCAATGTCCTTTCCACAGCTACATAACGAGAACCGTGAGCTGCAAGTTCAGATCAGATTGGAACTAGGAGTACAGAGTCAGAAGTCAGCCTGTGAATATTTAGCATGTGATTTGAAGACTTTGTGTGTTCTACAGTGCAGTGATATTGGGAGTATGTGATTTAGTGAGACTTTTATAGTTCCTGTGCTGTAAATCCCTGAAGGCTAGTGGAGATAGATTGAAGAGGGTAGCTTTGTAGTGTGATAGGATCTAGAAGTATCCAATAAATCCAATTACCAATCCAAACCCTGTCTTTACCCACTGTGGCACGTGACAATAAGTTTATCAGCCAGCCAGTGCCCCCCCCTCCACCGCATGAGGTGGTGGTCAGCTGTTCATCCTACCATACTTTCCAATGTTCCTACTGTCACTTATTCTGCCATTAAAATGTTTTAACATATGCTTTTCTTCAGCAGCCTCATACAAGACAAATGTGGGTGCAAAACACATGTATACAAATTCATTCCCAATTTATGAGTCATCAAAAACTTTCATGGGTCAAGAAAAACATACTCTTAAAGAATGGCTACAATTGGCAGTACACTGCAAGCATTAATTGTCATGGGGAGTTCAGGACAGCTGCCTAATTCACAGCAGTGCTGACATCAACCATTGGGGAAGTATGGGTCGGTTTTTCTAGGTGCTGACTGTTATTAAATGCATGCTGATTGGGTACTGCAGATTAGGCTCAGGCAAGTAATGTGTGATCTCTGGTATTTAGATTTCAACGCATCATCACCTTTTATCTTTAAGTGATGTATTATAATAAAACATATTTTCCATAACGTTTCCGATTACCTCAATGAACATACATACTATTATATGTAAAATTTAAGTGTAACTTATTTTCAAATCCACCTATTAAATCTCTTAAAATAAAACCTTGCAAGTAAGTTCTGAGAATAACTTATATTTGATGCTTATTTTCCTCCAAATACTTCAATCCATATGGCTAAACTAGGAGAGATTCCACAATTAATAATTATACATCATCATCATCATCATCATCATCATCAGTAATCTGTCAAGACGACAGGTCCACAGTCTCTTCCAAAACAATTCCTCCACTTAATGCGATCTAGAGCTTTCTCCTTCAAATGACAGTATCCTCTTCTGTCCCCAAGGTCATTTACTATCTTCTTATGTCTTATTCCTCTTCTTCTTGTCACTTCTATCTGCCCCTCTATCTTTCCTTCGATAGCTTCTTTTAGAAGGCAGTTTCTGCGTAAAACATGACCAATCCAATTAGCCTTCCGTTTTCTTATTTCATGTAGGATATTCCTCTGCTCACTGACTCTAATTAACACTTCTTCATTTCTCACATAATCGGTCCAACTGATCTTCTCCATTCTTCTCCAACACCACATTTCGAAACTTTCCAGATGTTTCTGATCTACTGCCCTAAGTGTCCATGTTTCAGCCCCATACAGAGCTATGCTCCAAATGTAGCATTTCACTAGTTTCTTCCTCAAATTTAAGTCCAATTTGCTGGTAAAAAGATTCTTCTTCTTGCTAAATGCAGCTTTTGCCATGGCAATCCTGGATTTAATTTCACTAGTACACCTTCCATCATCTGTTAACAAGCTACCCAAATATTTAAAACATTTCACATTCTCCAGTTGTTTTTGGTCTATCTTTATTGTGACTGGGGTTGGTTGTCTCGAAATTTTCATTACTTTTGTTTTTTTTTTTCACATTTATTTCCATTCCATAGGACCTTCCAATTTCAATCAGCCTATCAATCATGCCCTGTAGCACAGTTGCTTCCTTAGCCATTAACACAAGGTCATCTGCATATTTCACAGTTAATAATTATACATTCATTCATTAAATTTACATTTTCAAGACATGACCTCAAAGTATCGAGGAGTCGCCATGTTTGTAACTGCCAGTATTTAAAGAAGCAGAACATTCGGACTCTGTATATATGATTATGTTATATCTCCATGCAAAATTCCGCATGCCTAGGTACAACCATAAGACCGACATCTATGGATAGTTTTCATGCAGTCATCTTGATTTTTTACATTAAACAGAAAAAACTTACTAAAATTAGGTATTTTTCAGTGGTTTACTAGCACGCAAAATCTCAGAATCCTACATTTGTGGCCCTAGTGCTGCTCTTACTTCACAGGCCCACAAGCTCACCATGTCAGTATTACTGATAAGAAAAAAAAATAAGTATAAATTCTGGGATGGTCTCTACTAGGATTATATCCATGCCAGATTTAATGAAAATCCAGTAATCTGTTAGAATCAGATATCATATGCCTGGCTTGCACTGATAGTACTGCTGATTCTGCAACATGCAGTTAAACAAGTTCCCAGGGAAAAAAATACTTACTCGCTCGGTAGAAAAGGGCACCGGAATTCTATTACAAGATTGTCATAATCTGTCAAGTGACATATGTGGAATACTGATGACTGAGGAAACTGAAAATGTGGCAAAGGTTCAAGTTTAGATTTGTTTTTCTTTCATTAATGCAGCAATGAAAACCAGCTGGGTTCCTATTAGGTAGGTCTCCTGGTATTTGAAAGCCGGATATCCTAAATCCTAAAAACGTGAAATTTCGGATATTTCTCGTTTAGTCCCATGTCCTTCAACATCAGTCAACCAGTTCCGCACTGGGTACAGGATTTTTCTGGCTACAAAACCATATTCTACGGCGATCTAATAATAGCGTCAACGTTATCAAACCAACAACTCGTGGCACATCAGCGCACTCTGGCGTGAATCTATTCAAACTTCCTAGGGTTCCGGTCTTAACGTACTGCATCTGCAGCATCCACTTTAAACAATTTCAGGACCTGTTCCGAAAATTCTCTGCTTATTGGAGGGTATGAAGAATCAATGAAAAGTTTGAATGAAATCAATCGACAAAGCCACAAAGTTGTGCAATATTTTCTCATCAAGTCGGAAAAAGGGAAGGGGCTGAGCTACGAACTGGACGGCCTGAGTTCGTATTTTTCAAAATAACAAACAAAAAAGTAAATAGTTTTAAGAGCGCCACCTTTCAGGCCGTGATTACATTAATTGGTTACACAAAACACACACTCCTGCTTTAGGATCAAAGAGTAAGACAAACAAAAAAGCAAGCACTAAAATGAGTAAATGGAGCCAGACTGCACGGCATCACATCCCAGAATGCAGTACTCTACATATTCACCGCCGAGATAACCTCAAATCCTACACTTATTACTTTAATAATGTTTGTCTGAATACAACGTCCAAATTACGTGACCATTTTCGATCAAATTCGATACAATAAACGCGTAGCTGGGAACGGATATCTGTGGTCTAGTGGTACGAGTTCCTGGCTACAGATCCAGAGGTCCGGGTTCGATTCCCGA